AGCCCTGGATATCGGCTTTTCGTTCGCCCAATTTGGTGGGAAAACACCTCCTCCACGAGAAGACTGTGATCAGGGCTTCCTCAGCAGAGTCGCTTAGTCGTGTGGGAGCATTTCGCGGGGTGGAAGCTAAGGGTGACCAGCCGCAACCCCAGACACCCACCCTGGATCATACCGATCCTTTCAGAGGCACTGATAGCATACGGCCACATTTGATTTCCTCATGACCTAACGCGAATCGGAAATTGATTCAGCAAATCTCATTGACTACGTTAAACCATACGCGGATGGATGATTTTCTGCATTGGTGAAGAGCTTTTAATTAAAGTGAATTACTAGTGTAACGAGAAGGCGAATTGGCTGGCAAAACGCTTATTGATTCAATTAAAAAAACCGGTATATGCGTTCGGTTACATACAGTCAATTCTCAACCGCGCGACAGGATGATTCATGCCTCATTCTGTTGGTCAATCTCTGTTGGTTTTGGTCCGCACTTCGCACGCACGTTGCCATTTATTCCGCGTGTTTTTCCGACTGGTAGCGCGAGATACTTCGATCGACAGCTCCGACGTCGTGGTGTTCGATGGATATCTTTCTGGTCAGATGCGGATTGTCCGTCGGGCTGTAATTGTCAATTCATTCGTTTCGAGTGGTAGTCAATATTGTCTCTCAAAGTACTTCTGGTCGCTACGTCTGCGCATCTGGTTGAATGGGCCTTATTCTCGATTTATATTCGCTAGCCGGGGCTCTCTTTGTACCATCTTCCATCACACTAGTACGTAAAATATTTGTACCCGAAAGAATATGCTTCGATTATCCTATTTAGTCCGGTGTGTTTTCTTGGTGAAACACAATCACACACGTTTTCAGTGCTAGGAGTGGCAAGTTTAACTTCCAAGAAAGACGGTGGATACACATCAGTAGTAATAAGATCCAAAAAGTGTTGCTGTTTCGTGGAGTTTCGTGCTTCCGGAGTGTATATGAATTAACTAAGGATTTTACGTAAGTGATGGTCAGTCAAAATCAACATCGCCCCGGGGGCAAGGAAAACAGTCCAGTTGACGGGAATGTGAATTGAAGACGCTTTTTTGCCGAGGTTAACAGTTTGCATGTGAATTGCGTCACTGATGTTCGGCAAGTAGACTAATCCACAGTTTTCCATTCATTCGTTTCAAATCTCGATTCAAATTTTTCCACTCCTTCTCCCATCCCGCTCATATCTCCGTTTATTCTCTCTTTGATTGCATTTGCTTATTCTCAGATTGTTCAAGATCGGTAGTTCGAATCTACGAAGGATCACACTTTCGGCCGTCATTTGAGTTCTGTGGAAATCAGACCAAACTACCTCCGTTAGTCCTGTCCTCTTCAGCAGCTATCGTCCGGTACGTTTGATTCTCGTCTGATTGTTTGTTTTTCTTGGTATTGTGCTGATAGCCGTATGCCACGAATTCCTGTTTACTTCGCTCCGGGCAACTACGTCCAAGAAAGTGCCTACTCATACCTACTCAGAATTCCCCCCGTTGGATGAGATTAACATGAGGGATTTGAATGCAGGACTAATCAGTTGAAATTCATTGAACCCAGAAACAGCTGTTTTGGAACCCATTTATTTTCTAACCTTGCTTTGAGTGTTTGCACAATGACGCAGTAACTGAATTGACCTTCAGTACTTAACATGTTCGCATGCTATTGCTATCAGTTATTCACTTCGGATGGTCCCACTGAATTTCATCGGGTTAACTTTCTTCTTTTTTACTTCCTGCTTATCGAATATGCAATGATACAATATTTAGGAAGGGGTGGGCGGCCAATTAAAGGGCTGCCATGCAACAGACACAAATGGGATAAATCAGACGGTGGTGGTGGAATTTGAACAGTCGTCCTCTGGGGTGTTAGTTTGGTGACGTTACTACTGGGCCANCCACCGCCACTCCCATGTGTGATATGCGTGTGTGTGCGCGCGCGCTCGTGCGCGCTCTTTATAAGCACGCACCAATTTCCATCGAGTCGTGGTGAAAAAACGCGCAATCAGTGTAACTAGATCACTTTTGAAAGATTACTTGGTCCCAAACCTTTTCAATCGCATCCTACCTTGGAACCGCACAAAATGATTGATCGTTCGGCAGTCACAAGTCACGGAGTCACCGGGTCTATAGNATAGAATCCCCCACCTCACCCTGAGTTGGAAAGAGGCCTGATTTCTCCATAGACAATGAACACACTTGAAGTTATAACGGTTTCACTCGAAGTTGTTAAAGTTCAACCCTTTGAATAGAACCAATCAGCAACCCAATTTATCCTCGGTCTCTGTTCGACTCACTTGATACCCTCGTGTATAGTTTACCGATCCACCATCATCCCGGAGCACTAGTTTCCATTCCTGGATGCATTCCTGCTGGTAGCACTTGCTTTGCATACAGTGAACACATTACTCGTCAGTTGCGTGAATCTCTCGGCCAAATCTCAGTTGGTTAGTTTGATGCGGCAAATATAAGTTGTCGCTTGACCTTCTCAGAGCGATTTCCCCTTATTTCTGTCTCTCCCATGATTTTAACATCGGTTTAGTCGTCGCATAGAGCATTCCTTGATCAGTAATTTCCGAGCTTACTCCTACTCATAAATACAACTGAGGTTGATTTTTATTTCCTATTCCCATTCAGATAGCCCTAGACTGTGGGCTTTTGTTGATGTCTAAACCCCGCAATTCACTATCTTCGATTGCGTGCACAAACCACTTATGGCACCAAACTTGCTGCAAAACATATCAAAGACCCATCCTCCTAACAGCGGCTATATAAAAATATATATATGATAATAAGTAGTATGTGAATGACTGGACAAAATTTCCCTGGAAGCACACAACCGGTTTCGCGGTTCTTGCCGCTCGTCAGGCATGCATATCCGGTAATCTTTTGTCAGTTCATTCATATACTTGTACCCAGGAAGTGTATTTTTGTCACAATAACCTTGTTTGCAACGCCGGGTGACCATTGGATTGATCATTGAACTGGCTCTGAAAAAGCTGTCTGTCCAATGGCCACCCAGTGTTGCAAACAAGGCTGTTGTGACAAAAATACACTTCCTGGGTAAAAGTATATGAATGAACAGGTGAAAGATTACCGGATACGCATATTTGACGAGCGGCAAGAACCGCCAACCGATCGTGTGCTTCCAGGGAAATTTTGTCCACTCATTCACATACTATTTATTGTAATATATATATGATTTATTTAGCCCAACCATGAAAATACAGCCAGAAATGTTTCGTCATCTGAAGATGCAACAACAGCATGTAGCAATCTTCATGCCAATTTCACACGATAACGTCTTTTGTTTTGAATCAACGTTCATACCTGTCTCTACATAAGATCCGCGTTCATCTGGAGTTGCAGAGTTGCAGGGATGGTCTTAAACTAAGTCGCACTGATGATATTACCTAGCTTGACTACGGAACGCCTGCAAACAACACTTCCAGCTCGGAGAACTCACCAACACCGGCATCGTCTAAAGCTATTTGCCAACTCCTGTCGTTGAAAATTCAATGAATTGTTTTATTCACTTTCACGAGTTACGTTCCTGGTCATGTTTGAGATTGCAGGCGTGTTACCAAAACCATTGAAG